AGATCCTCCTGGACGCCGCTGGAGGGACTGGTCGAAGAATGTTGGGTGATTGAAATGTCTGCGGATGATTTCAGATTTGCGTTGCTGTTTTTTCGGACTCTGCTTGTGATCTGTCTTTGGATGAACAATTCTTTCCGAAATGATTTGAAATAATACAATTCTTATGCTTCAAGATCCAGTCATAAACTGTTTGTAAACGAGTGCATTCGCACCTGAGATTTAGAGATTTATTTTTGTTTTGCTGTATATCTTAGGTATTATGTGATTGCGATCACCATAGAAATAAAAAGAAAAAAACATTAGACCTCACAAAAGACAGGTAATTCCTCATTTATACCGCTGATTTCAGAAGAAAATACGAGGGAGAATTGCGTGCGTTTTCTATCTCGTTAAATCGATATATAATACCTCGCATCCACCCTCAAAGAGACGAAAAGAAAAAGAATATATAAAAAGAACACTAAAAAGAAAACGGGATTCACTCGATTAACCGCCAATGCCATTCGGAAAAAGAAAATTGGTTCCCGGACTCGTTGCGGCCTCGGAGACGGCGGTTCCCTGGCGAAGATCACCGAGCTGTGCCTAAGTGACTACGACTCTTGTCAAAACTGGCGATTTTCTGCTTCTCTCCTCTATTGGATGTGCGGGGTCTTAGGCGGCCGCGCAGGGGGGGAAACAGGCGCTGCTGGGATCTGTTTGGTTCCATTCTCGTGTGTTTGTGAAGTCATGTGGCAAACGCTCGGGCTGTGGTTTTATCATGGGCGATTTTTTTTTCTCCTGATATTTTTTTTTTCTTCTCTTTTTCGTATGTGTTTTAGTTGTACATTTTGTTTTTGTTTTGCTTATGTGTCGGGTATATACTTTTTTTTCCCCAAGATGTGCCTGTTTGTACCGATTTTAATTTGGTTTAGTGTAGGTAGCTGCAAATCATCATCAGTTTTCAGATGATAGATGACTGAACTGCCGTTATCTCCCCGTTTTGCCCCTCCCCGCCCCCCCTCCCCCCTACCTCCCCTTGCCAGCGTCCTTCATAAACCTTCGAGGCGTTTCCTGCGTCCCTTCATCCAGTGTGGTCCAAGTCATACCTTTGCCGACAACAGGAACTTGCCTGAGCTGAATCGAAGTGTTGATGTTTATTTTTTGTTTATGGCGCTGTTAGCAGTTTAGATTCTGTGAACGTTTTAAAGTTGGTTTTCTAATTAATTGACAAACAAAACGCTTTGCCTGATGGCCCGGGTTAATAGCCAGTCAGCGTGTTATATGGATATCTTACGCGCCTTTTCAGTTGATTAATACCTGGATGTTGGAAGTGTAAAGGCAACGGCCCTTCATGCCTCTCCTACCGCCTCCCCGCGCTCTCCCGCCGCCTCTCCGCGCCGCTGCCGCCGCTGTCACCACGTGTCAGACGCATTACCTTCCACTCCTGCCTTCTGACTTCCTATAAAACAATCATGGTTCATGCCCGCCGCCTGCCGGGAAGGTTTCCGGACGAGCGGCTGCGATCTGGGGGTTCCTCAGGAGGTGTGGGCGACGGGGAGGCCGCGCGGGAGGCTGCGCGGGAGGCGGGAGGCGTCGGGAGGCTTGGGCTTCTTTGAGGATCACCTGCGTTTCTTTTTTTTTATTTCCATTGCTGCCTGCCCTGCGAGGGAGGTGGGAGCTATCTGGCTTGCCGTGACGAAGGATTCGGCGCACCTTGCCTTCCACCGTCTTCTGTGGGAGTTCTCTCTGCGGTCCTGCAGACGGGAGTAATTATCTGCTTGACAGAATGGTTACCTGCGTGCGGTACCTGGAGGCGGGCGTTGTGAGGCGGTTGATGAGAGGCTGGGGGAGGGAAGGGGCAGGGGGGGGAGTTAAGAAGCCTCCCTCGGCGTCCCTCGTCAGGTCGTGGTGCCGCCGCGCCGCAAGACATGCTCCTTCACAGATTTGTGTCCAGTGTCCTCAACCGCCGCCCCGTGAAGCCCTTTGGGTCGTGAGGATGCCGGGTGGGAGGAGGGGGAGGGAGGGGGGAAGGGAGGATCCGCAGGTACTCAAGACATGATCATGATGTTGGCTTATGTACTCGGCTCTCTCTCTCTCTCTCTCTCTCTCTCTCTCTCTCTCTCTCCTCTCTCTCTCTCCTCTCTCTCTCTCTCTCTCTCCTCTCTCTCTCTCTCTCTTTTTATCCATCTATCTATCTATCTTTCTCTCTCTCTCTCTTCTCTCTCTCTCTCTCCTCTCTCTCTCGTCTCTCTCTCTCTCTCTCTCGTCATCTCTCTCCTCTCTCTCTCTCTCTCTCTCTCTTCTCATCTCTCTCTCTCTCTCTCTCTCTGTTTTTTCTCTCTCTCCCTCTATTTTCCTCCTCTACTCCTTTGTTATTTTCTCTTTCTCTCTCTCTCTCTGTTTTTTCTCTCTCTCCCTCTATTTTCCTCCTCTTCTCCTTTGTTATTTAGCTCTCCTCTTATCAAGTCTCTATGTTCGCCCTTTCCTTCCCTGCCCTATTACTGGAGGGTTTGAAAACCTGAAAACCAGAGGCATAGTTGATAAAGTGCGGTCTTTCCTTAGCTCATAGCCCCCTGCTATGCAGTTTTTACTATTATTTTATCCAAGACTCAACAGCGCTTGAGCACTACGCTCACATCCCGGTGGCCTCAGGAGCTAGGCTTCGCGGGGAAAAATTCGTTTCCTCCATCCGCGAGAGCCGCCCCAACGCCTCCGCCGGCGCTCCCAGATCGACCGTTCGAACGCCCTCCCGGCCCGGGCGTCATCGCGGCGCGTAGGTGACCACATTGTTAGGACAGACAGCCGTCAAGAATGATGTTGGCCATATCGC